GGAAATTGTCGAGGTTGCAGCCCTTACCAAGAAGATAAGCAGATTTTACAGTATAATCGCCACTTTTTGAGAAAGCCCAAGTGATTTCATCCTGCTACCTGCTTTCACTAGGAGGAATGGCTAAAATGCAATGTGCATCTCTCTTTGTAAAATTCTCTTTAATAAATTCACTCTTCCACTCCATCCTTACTGGGTCAATAATATCACTCACTGTATTTAGGCCTGGGATTTCTTCACTGGCAATGAAACACCCACCATCATTCGCAACCCATGGATCATCCCATAACTTTATGCTTCTCCCATCACCCACCTTCCAAAATACTCCCTCTTTTATGATTGCTTTTGAAGACCATATACTCCTCCAGGGATAACTACCAGTGTGACCTAGGTAGGAATCAAGGAAATCAGAGTGAGGATAGTATTTAGCTTTGTATACTCGCCCTAAGAGAGAATCCAGAGCCTTCACTAGTCTTCAAGCCTGTTTTCCCAAGAGAGCATCATTAAAGACCGTAAGGTTCCTGAAACCCATACCCCCAAGACATTTCAAAGTGCACAATGAATCCCAATTCTTCCAGTGAATCTTTCGTCTCACCCCATCCGAACCCCACCAAAACTGTGCCATAGTAGAATAAATTCGTTGGATGATTGAGAATGGAAATTTGTATACTCCCATAAGATAAGTTGGGATCGCCTGGATTACCGATTTCAAAAGGATTTCTTTCCCAGCACGGGAGAGAATTTTTTACTTCCACCTTTGAAGCTTCTTCCAAATTCTATCAATTACAGCTCGAAAATTTCTCATGCCTGTCAACTTGCCTCATATTCAGAATTTCCATTAAACCCTCCCTTCGCTCAATAGATACACCTTTACTATAAGAGACCTCCGACTTTTCATAATTAATTTTCTGCCCGAATGCTTTTTCATACTAGTTGAGAATATCAACTATAATTTTGCATTCCTGTCAGGTGGCTCTGGTAAATAGGGGACTGTCATCTACAAAAAGAAGATGAGAAATTTCGGGGCCATTTCTGCTAGCTTTGACCCCATAAAAGATCACCCCCCCGTACTTTTTTCTGTAACATACTAGAAAACACTTCAGCAACCAGAATAAAAAGATACGGGGATAATGGGTCTCCCTGACGGAGACCTCTAGTGGGAGTGACCGAACCACGAACTCCTCCACTAATGACAAAGGAGCAGGAGATTGTTGAAACACAGTCCATAATCAAATTCACCCATCGACCATCGAAACTCATAGTGAGAAGCATTTTCCGTAGAAAGCCCCATTCAACTCTGTCATAAGCTTTACTCATGTCAAGTTTCAAAGCCATAGAACCTTTCTTACTCTTACTCCGATTTTTCATGGTATGGAACACCTCCAGAGCTATTAGAGCATTATCAATAATAAATCTCCTAGGCACAAATGCACTCTGATTTTCAGAAATAAGAGTAGGGAGCATGCTCTTGAGACACAAAACAATCGACTTAGACACCAATTTGTAAAGTACATTACATAAAGCAATAAGCCTATAGTCTACTGTTTTGGTGGGTTTCTGAATTTTGGGAATTAAAACAATGTTCGTATTATTCACATGATTTAAAGGGGAGGAACCATGTAGAACACTACAAACAAATCTAGTGATATCATCACCAATAATATGCCAGAAACGCTGATAAAAGATAGCATGCATACCATCCGGGCCGGGGGCTTTGCAGGGGTGCATTTGTTTCAAAGCTGCCAAAATTTCTTCTTTTGTGAACGGTCTTAGCAATTCCCTATTCATCTCATCAGAAATACAAGGACTAATATTTCCGAGTACCTCATGAATGTTACTGTCGGTTGGTTCACAAGAGGCGAATAAAGCCCTAAAATGTTGCGTGATGGTCTTCTCAATGATCTTCTCATTCTTTTGCCACACCCCATCCTTATCAAAAATCCCACCAATACGATTTTTCTTTTTTCTCTGGGAAGCTTTATGGTGAAAATAATTGGTGTTTTTATCGCCATCCCTTACCTCGGAAACTTTATTACTCCTTATAAACCAATACGCCTCAAGTTTGTCATTTAAATCATCCAGGTTCTTCTCAAGACAAGCACACTCTTTCACACTTTCCTCTGTGACAGCCTGAACTTTCGCAGCTCTTAGAGATTTCACTCCCTCTGCAATCTGCTTATCAAGCTTGTGGAATTTTTCACTACTCCACACTATTAAGCCCCTGGCAACAACAGTAATCCTTGCAACGATGTCCTCCCCCATTGCCTCCTCCCACGCCTTCTGGACAGAGAGTTCACAAGTATCATCAAGCAACCATCCAGTTTCAAACTTGAAGCTCTTCTTATTTTTCTTTTTCTTCGGTCTCTGAACCTCTTGGCGGAGCAAAATAACTGTACGGTCTGATTTGTATCTTACAAGGTGTTCACCATAGAATTCGGGAATATACAATGCTAAGCTCGAGAAACAAGAAAACGGCCGAGATGCTCTCTAACTCGATTACCAACATCATTCCCCCTCTCCCAAGTGTACCAACTGCCTTCATATCCCAAGTCTCGAAGCATACAATCATCCACCATATCACGAAAATTGGCCACCTCCCTTCTAGTCTTATCCTCCCCTTCCTCAATTTCACCATAACTGAGGATCTCATTAAAATCCCCTCCGAAAAGAATAGGGAGGTTTGTTTCTTCACAAAGATGACAAACTAGAGCCCACGTTTTATGCTTTTCTTCCTCCTTCGGCCACCCATAAACGCCTACAAACCTCCATGCACCTTGAAGACTCGAAACATCACCACAAATATGGTTTTGTGAAAACGAAACCAGATTGAAATCTATCTACTCCTTCCAGTATAAACATAAGCCTTCAGCCTTTCCTAAACTAGCAACACCAAACGCATTCTCATATCCCAAACGCTCCTTCAACTTCTCCACTTCATTCTTTTTAATCATAGTCACCGACAAAGAGATCACGCCGGGGGCATACCTATTACTCCATCGACGGAGCTGTCGAATTAACCGGGAGTTGCCCAATCCTCGACAGTTCCAACATAGACCAATCATTGATTGAGGCGGGGTTAGTTTGAGCCAACCTCCGCCGCTACAGCAATGTCCATAGAAACCAGGCCATCTTGTTTACTCCTTTTCCTCACCGTCTCACCATCCTCGACATCCATACCATCATCATCAAAAGCTCGCTTTCGAGTGAGTTTATGAGTCACCTCCCCTGACTTGGCAGTAACATGTTTGCGAATTTTCTTCTTAACACCTGTACCATCAGATTTCTCAACTATGAAGCTTCCAATAGAGAAGCATTCATCATGTGCCAAAGTGTCCTTTATAGCCTCACTTGCATCATTGAACACTCCAGCCTTATCTACCCCATTATTTAAGGGATCATGGCTGATGAGAGGAGTCAGAACAAATTTTCCACCCCCACCCTGTATCTTGCAGAGGGAAAGGTCATCATCAGGTTGCTTAGTAACAAAATTAAGACGTTTGGCAGCCTTAAGTTCATTAATTTCTGCTTTCTCCTTAAGTTCACTTGAGATGATCACCAGTAAATCGACTAAGTTGGAGATGAAATTCAAAAACTGAAGCCAAAGAAATGTTGCTATTAATGTTTCAAATCCTATCACAAAACGTCTTAGCTTGTTCTCTAGCATTTTTTTTTTTTTTTTTTTGCCAACAGCAAAATCAACTATAACAAACTACAAAACACTTAAATGAGCTGAATTAGCTCTTATAAACCAACATAAACAAAAGCAAAAACTTAAAAACTTTATGTCGACAAGTCTTGATTACTTGTTACCAAATCTGCTTGTCTTGAATCATACTTCTTAATAGGCACCATAGTTGAGATAAGGACGGAGTAAACATTGTTGTTGAAGAGAAAAACACATAGAGGCATAAGGGTTGGTAAAAAGAGAGTGTTATGGGCCTCATGGCCACACCGGGTCAAACAAGTCGCAACTTGCGACCCCGGCCATAAACAGGTACTCATATTCTCTCCTCAAGAAGAGGGACTACAAATGACATGTTATGAACCCCCAAACTTTGCATCTTGGGAGCCGCTTTCAGGGCAACGATTTGAAAAACCATTGCTAAATTATAAGGACGAGTTCATAAAGAACTTTTTTCATGATTGAGCATTTATTTCTCATAAATTATACTCCGTAGATGTGCTTTTGACTTTTGAAATTATAACAACTAAGCCAAAAAAAAAAAAAAAATATCAAAGTCCAATAATTTTTAGATAAAATTTTGTAAATAGATTAAGTAATATCTAAATATTGTGATTTTATTAATAAAATAAACGGTCTTTTTGTAACTACACAAATACATGCAATAAACGAGTGAATCATGAACGACTTTGTACCTTTGTTATTGTTAAAGCTCATTTCCTAATCAAGTTTCAAATCTTGTCCAGGTTAGCTTCGAAGTCCTCGATTCTTTTTATAAATAAACATAAAAGAGCTTTAGATAAGCTTGCACTAAATTGAATAGTTCATTGATTGTCTTAACTCATTTATATATATATATATATATATATATATATATATATATATATATATATATATATATATATTTATTTATTTATTTATTTAATTTTATTTTTTTTTTGTTTTTGGTTGATGAGTTTAAAGCTTTAAACTCCACTAAAATATTAAGGTTATCTATACTAGATAATCTTACAGTTGGAATGTTGGATAGATGAAAGAAAGAATCGTACTCTCAAAGTTGTTATTATTTGACAAGTCAGTACACCCTTCCAAAAAAAAACAAATCAAAATTTTAAAATTTTAGTTAAAAAAAAAGAAATCACTTGTCATTGTCATCATTAAATCGTGAAACTCTCATACGTACTACTTGCAACACAATAATTCTGTACGTTCAAACTTGCCAAATATACGTACGTAGTATTGACGTGGTATTTCCGTAGTATTATACGTAGATTTTCTACTCATCAACTTACTATAAATAGCTCCTAAAATATGATCATACACTATCATTCAACCAATAACACTCTCTATATAGAAACCCTAGTAAGCTCAGTGATAGTACATCCTTAAAATTTACTACATTTCCCTAGCTACTCTTTTAAACAAAATGGAAAGAGGTGGTTACGGTTCAGAAAACACCGGCTATGGTGCCACTGAAGGCAACCACTATGGCTCTGGAGGCTATGGTGAGACAGAAGGCAACCGCTATGGTTCTGGTGGTGGTGGAGGCTATGGTGGTGAGTCAGAAGGCAACCGCTATGGCTCTGGAGGTGGTGGTGGCTATGGTGAGTCAGAAGGCAACCGCTATGGCTCTGGAGGTGGTGGTGGCTATGGTGGTGAGACAGAAGGCAACCAATATGGCTCCTCAGACTACAACACCGGTACTGGTGGTGTTGGTGGTGGTGGGTATGGGTCCACTGAGGGTAACCAGTATGGATCCGACAACACCACTGGCGGTGGGTATGGTGGTGAGACAAAGAAGTATGGAGAGGAAGATGGCTACAAGAATAGTGAGATGAGTGAAGAGCCAGCTAGGGATTATGATAAGGAAGAGAAGAAACATAAGCATCTTGAACAACTTGGTGGCCTTGGTGCTGTTGCTTCCGGTGCTTATGCTATGGTAATTTTTTCTTTACCATGTTTTTTTTTAAAAAAAAAAAAAAAAACTTTTTCTACAATAACTTCTTTTGGTTAACATTTTCAATTAATATGTTATAAATAACTATGAATGGTAATATGGTATAAATACACCACGGTTGTATGTATATATTAAGGCCCTGTTCACTTCACCTTAATAAAAATAATATTCATTAGAAATAATTTCAGTAATAATCTTACCTTAAAAAAAAATATTTACTTGATTTTTACTTATTTAAACTTCTGAATTTCTTAAAAACGTATTTTAGTTTATAATTAAAATTGGTAATCATTATCACTCTTATAAGAAAATTATCAACCTAAGCAAATTTATCTAGAGTTTATTTGAATTAATAATGTAAACTTACTAACCCTTATATCATTATGATCAAAACAATGATCAAATTAAAAGTTGTCTGTTTATTTATTATGTTATAATTTTAACTAAATATGATTGCCTATTATCATGTGATCATTAGTCGTTAAAATATGGTTGTATTATTGATGCTCAAATTAACTATTGTTATATTTGTTTTGGAATGAAAATCATAGTATGAGAAGCACCAAGCAAAGAAGGACCCAGAGAATGAACACAAGCACAGAATAGCTGAAGAAGTGGCAGCTGTAGGCGCGGTCGCGTCTGGTGGTTTTGCTTTCCATGAGCATCACCAGAAAAAGGATGTTAAGGAGGACCGAGAGGAGGCCGAGGAGTCGGAGGGCAAGAAGAAGAAGCATCATTTCTTCTAATTTTAATCAACCCCTTTAATATACTATGCTATGAAAAAAAAAATGTTTTAATTTTCCCATAAAAACAAAACAAAAAATTAAAAAAGATGGTTTTTATTTTGAGTACTCTTTTTATTGTTTTGTCAAGGGGAAAATTAAAACACGTATGTTGTTGGTGTATTTAAGTGATAAGCCTCATGTTATTATCTTAGTTTCAATATTGTTTGTTGTAATTAAGTGAGTGATATGTTTGGCTTGTATCTTAAGCTCCTTATCTCTAAATCGGTTATATCCGGTTGATTGTGATTAGTGTGTTAATAACATTATTATTATTATTATTATTATTATTATTATTATTATTATTATTATTATTATTATTATTATTATTATTATTATTATTATTATTATTATTATTATTATTATTATTATTATTAAATAACAAAAACCTACAAAGTCAAAAGATTTACAAGAAATTAGTGGGGAGCCGAGATACAGTCTGGGCCCCAACCCCTCTAGCTATAGCGAACCCAATCCTGTTAAAGATGTGAGCAGCCGCACGAGCTCCAATATCCTGAGTCCTAGCGAACGCCTGAACCCGCTTCAGCAACGCAACGACATCCTTCTCTAATTCCCCCAATGAAGAAAAGGAGAAAGGAAGAAAACCATAGCCAATAGCCCTGCAACGCGCCCCATACTTGTCTCGCTTCCGCTGAGCCGCAGCCGACATAACACGACCAGGAACGAAGTCAGACAACCCAGATTGAGTCAATGGAGAAGACCCCGTCAAGTCAACACATACATCTAGGCCTCTATCCCAGGAGTTAAGCAACACATCTGCTGGCCGAAGAGCCCCGTCGTTCCCTCCAGTTAACCCAACGTTGACCTCCTTCCTTGCAGAAATCTCAGAGCGGAAACAAATATCAACAAGGGTATCACAAACAACGTTATGCCGATGTATAATACCCACCATCCCAGCATAAGACACTGCATGATCCCCATAAATATCCCCATAAAAAACTCTTGAGCAAGCAGAACAAGGTGCCGATACGGAGAACAAGGGAACACCCAACCGGTAGCAAAGAACACAACGGTAAGTCTTACCATTCATAGTCTGACCCAGACCTGATATCGGGACCGCTCGCAACCAGGCAGAAGAGTAATCCCCCTGCTGGGACTTCCATAAGGAAACCTGACGCGGAGACAAGGAGAAAGTGGATTCTGCAGATGCAGTGACCTTTGTGAAATATATATCTGCCAATTTCTTCATGAGTTTGGGGGCAGCGATCTCACCAGGGTAACGCAAAAGGTCAGTCTCCACAGTCCTATTAAAAAGACTAAGAGCGTCGTCGAAGGCCGGACCTGGACCAACAATACCAGAATTGCGAAGAAGCGAAGCCTGTAGACCAGAAGACTGCAAACGCGACACAAGGAAAGCATAGTGTCGAACATCACCCGCTGAATAGACACCCAGTCCTCCATAAGAAAAAGGTAAGGTGGCAAGGCGCCATTGCCAATCACCAAAACCTGGCCCCGAAGCAGTTACAATGCGCTCCACAGAACCTCGAAGGGCCACATCAAAAGAAATCTGGGCCGCTTCAAAAAGACGAGGAGGACAAGTGCGCATAGAAAAGTAGAGTTTTGAAACTCCAGTACACGCACGAAGAAGTAATAACTCACATTGGGGATCCTCAAGCTTAGCAACAGCATCCATGAGCACAATGGTCTTCGACACCCTCTGCGAAACAAGCTCACCACAGAAAGAGGCATCCGCACTGACAGGATCCCCAAGCAACTTAACACCATGAGCAGGACGAGCAATATCTGGAGGAAAGACACCGGCCAGACGGCTACGAGGGTCCTCCGTGGGCCAGAAAACTTCCGTTTTCTCAACGTTAACATGGAGACCAAGACGAGGTCCCTCCACCAAAATCAACTCCATAACCTTCCCTACCACCAAGGTGTCACCAATAATAGTGCCATCATCCAAATACCAAGCCTGCAAACATAAGTTTAAAGAATCCCTAATTTGACAAACCAACGGATGGAGCACCAAAGCAAAAAGCAAAGGGCCAAGTGGATCACCCTGCTGCACACCCTGACATGACCTTAAGGTATGCTCCCCATAATAGAGCCTGGCTGGAGTAGAGTAACAGAATTCAACCCAACGCGAAAGAGCTGGACAACGGAGACGAACCTCACGCAGTAAAGCCGTACGATCAACCAAATTAAAGGCATTCCGGAAATCCACCAGCAACATAGAGAGGCCAGCATCACCACCTCGAGCCTCAACCAAACGATTAACAGCATGAAGAATAGCCTCGCCACCCGCCGGTACCCCAACACCAAACTGAAGACCTCCTAAATAGTTCCCCATACGCGGACCAACTAAAGCAGCCCCAACCTTTGAAACCAGACGCCGCCAAACAGTACCCACAGCAATAGGACGAATACCACCACCAGGCTTAACAAGTGGCGTGAGAGGAGCACTAGCAATATACTCCCCCAACTCAGCAGGACAATTTCCTGCGAGAAAGAGATTAACCACCTGCGTAATAGAGCCCACCAACTCATCTGAAATAGCAACCGCAGCACCACTCAAGCAATCCAGAAGGTGCTGAGCACGCAATCCGTCTCTACCGCATGACGTACCACGCGGAAAACCCCTAATTTGATCCAAAACAACAGCAGATGTAGCAATAAGGGGCTGATCAACGGGGATATCCGGTAAGATAGGAGCCGGAAAGGAAGGGTGCTTAGCTTGTAAATCAGCAAGAGTAGCATCATTGTAAGGGGCAAGACCAGAAGACGAAAGAACCCGAACCGCAGCAGTGTAATGTCCGTCACAAATCTTTCTCTTACATTGCTTAATATTTCGCTTAGACAAATCATGCTCATCATCAGCTTCCAACAAAGGAGGAGACACATCTGCCAACGTATCTCGCACAAGATGCACAGAACCACCAGGCTCACACCAAGAACGAATAGCAGCGGTGATACTCTCTTCCTGCCGCCGCCGCCGGACACCCGAAGAACACTCACGACTACTCCTCGGGGTAAAAGTTTTAAGAACACAAAGAGGCAACACAAGTAGTTGAACCCAACAAGAGACGTCATCAGGCTTGCAAATCACCTTATCAAGCGCTCCTTTGAGAACCCGAGAAAAACCCAAGCGACACTTTGGAGGAATAGATTTCACCGAACGGAACCGCTTAGATAGCAAACTATCCAGGAGAGCAACATCGAACGCCAAAAGAGGCTGACGAGGCGCACTAGAAACAAGATCAGATACCTCCGAAGAAAGACCCTGAGGTTTAGGAAAACCATAAAGAACAAACCGAACAACACCATCCCCCAAATCAGGTGGGTCCACAATATCATCCGAATCACGACCATGTCGACACTTCGTACGAAAAGTATGAGTCTTGAAACACTCCCCACAAATCCAAATGCCCATACGCCGAAAAGTTGACTCCGCCTCAAAGAAAATAGCCAGATTAGAAGCAAGAGAGCATCGGGTCATATCCCGCGCATCCGCACAACAATGACGGTCACGGAGATGAGTGATCAAAGAAGTTTTAGTGAGCCCATTACCCCTGCCATCTTGACACCCATTAAGACCCACGAACGGGCAATGAAAGAGAACACTAGGAGGCATAACATCCACCACAACTTGCCACAAGAGAACCGTAATACAACACAACGCAAACTGCACCAAAAACTAACCAAAAACTGCACCCAAGAAGCACTAGAAACCGCCTAGCAACTGCAGCCAAGAAGAACACACAAGAACGCAACTGAAACAGCTCGGAAACTACTCCGAAACCACCTGAAAACAGCCTACAGAAACTGCCCGGAAACTGCTAGAGGTACTGCAGCAAAACAACCCTATGAAACCGCCTAAAAACTGCACCTGATCAACCCAAAATCAGACCATAAAAAAGTCCTGAAAACAGATGCCGCGAACCACTTAAATACTGCCTGAAAAACGGCTGTAATCGCCGGAAAAGAGAAGCCCTCGCCGGACCTACAAATGCCTGGTTAATGATCGCAGAACCAGCCTGAAAATGAACGTGGAACGAGCTTGAATTTTGCCCATAAACTGCCCTCGAATTGCCCTGAAATTGCCCAAACAATGAAGCCCGAAACAGCCTGAATTTCGCCCCAAAAGAACCGAGGAAACCGCCGGAAAGAAGCCTGACCTGAAGGCGCTGACACCGAGCACCGCCGCCTGATATTAAAGGACTAAAAGCCGCCGGAAAAGCTGCCGGAAACCCCCCCTACGCCCAGCCCTAATCGCCCTGATATTATTATTATTATTATTATTATTATTATTATTATTATTATTATTGAAGTTACTTGTGGGACATAGATTTTTTTTTAAAACTTAATTTATATAGATGTATAATTATTGTTTTATTAAAAGATTGAATTTGACAATTTCACTATTTGTTGTGGGACAAGTACTCATAGGAAGTACGGAGTAATTAACTCTCAATTTATACTTTTTAAAATTCAATATAATTACCTTTGAATGAATTTCACAAATATTGGATCATTTCTCTTAAAAAAAAAAATAATAATCCAAAATCCCCTTTTACGCTACGATTACCCAATATATCCTAACTATATACCTTAAAGTTTGTTGATCACATACTTTGCGAAAACATAATTAAAGACGAGAGGGAGGGATAGCTCAAGTGGTTAAAGCTTCCCTCCCGATTTTAAGAGATCCTTGGATCGATTCTCATCTCGCCCTTGTGGCCCAAAAAAAAAAAAAAAAAAATTAAAGCCACAAGTTCTTGATATTTTAGATTTTTTTTTTTTTTTGGTTATTACTGTCTCGTGACATGATAACAAACATAAAGATTCTACTTGATGTACGTTGATTATCTCCTCTCCCATTTATGTGGTGATTTACTTTTTAATATTAATTTTCAAACAAAAGTGCCAAAACTCTAGCATGCTAGCATAATCAATTAAAAGAATGATTGGCAAGTGTGATTTCACACAATTGCTCTATATTCAATAGTTAGTCAATTTTTATTAGTTATTGAAAACGATCTCTATTTTAAATAAAAATATTTGAAATCAAACATTGTTCCTAACTTCCAATCACTTATTAACTTGCCAGCTCTATCTTTACTCCAAACTACAATAATTTCTTTGTGTGGAATTATTCTTACCAATCTTTTAAATTTGCAATCAACAAAATATTTGATTTTATAATCATATAAAATAAATTTTATTAAGAGTAATCCCTAAATAGTTACCAATTACTTGTGTTTCGGGTGTAAACAATGGGTCCTTCGGATGGACCTTTCTTGTGGGTTGAAGACTGGACTCGACCCAAGTGATGACTGGAACGAGGATTTCCTGCACATCAAAAACACGTAAACCGACCTCAGGAGTTGTGTCGAGGAAGGCCCCTCCGATGTCGAAGTAAGTACAGTTTTTAGAGAGAGAAAGCTATGCAAGAGAATTAATTGCTTGAGACTTAATGTGAATGAATTGAGAGAGAAAGAAGTGAAGGCTTTTATACCTTAATCAAATAGTTTTAATGGGCCTCTGAGCCAAGTGGGTTTGCCACGTTGAGTGGGCCTTAGTTGACTTACTTGGCATGCTTGTAGAGGGTTGAACCTTCTTTGGGCTTTAATGTAGTTATTTGGTGATCGGCCCAATTGGAATAAATTGGACCCAAACAACTTGCCCCCAAGACCCGGTTCAGAAGTTTGATGAATTGGGTTTTGACTTGCAATTTGGAGGGAAACAAATAATTTATTTAGCACTTGAATTTTTGGAGTTATTGAGGCAATAACGGCTGTTTAGTAGTTAATGGGGAATGTGGAGAGTTTAGTGGGTAGTTGTTTTGGGAAGTAATGGAAGGGTGAAGCATTGAAGTGGAGTAAGTGGGGTTTTTTATGGCGCGGACTCCCAAGCTTCTTGAGCTGGCAGGCACTAGTGGAAAAAACGCTATTAGCAACTGACGATAAGTGTCTTTTAACAATTGGCGCGTGGGGCTGCTATTGCGGGGGCTACTAATGAGAATATTATTTGCAACTGACGCTTGTTTGTTGCTAATAGTCATTATTCACAACTGGCGTACTTATTAACCAGTTGCAATTGGTCTTTTTTTAAAAATAAAAGTATTATTCGCAACTGGCCAATAACTAGGCCCATTGCTAATAGTATCTATTTGCAGCTGGCATATAGTTCGGCCAGCTGCTAATAGTACCTATTTGCAGCTGGCATATAGGTCGGCCAGCTGCTAATAGTATGTATTTGCAGCTGACATATAATTCGGCCAGCTGGTAATGGACGTTTTTTTAAAATTGAAAAAAAAAGCAATTTTGTATCCAAATTTTGCAGGAACTGCAACGTATATCATATACTTATAGAAGTTACCATTGTAACAAAATTTGTGTTAATTTTACTGTATACATTAAATACAAATTTTTAAAAAACACAATAGTGACATCGTCCCGAAGCGACAACATTAATGAGAAGCAATGACTCAAATCAACTACATTAGCCATGAATTTTGCTGCTAAACATAAAAGTACAATAAACAATTAATTTTCCTACTAAACATAAAAGTATAATAAACTCATTAAAAATCCAGAACAATAAATCAAAAAAATCCTCACATTATTCGTTTTAAGGGAAGAATCACCCAATTGAGTATCATCGGAAGGCGAAATAGCCTCATCTGTCGTCACCGCGATAGATAGAAGAAACCGAAACGAAAACTTCAGGAGGAAGAGGAATATCACGAGAGAGAAGATTGTTTCGCTCTTTTTTAATTCTTGGTCGGCTTGGTCGAATTCAATGGAGAGGAGAGGTTCAGAGGATGATTTCGATCGAGTGTAGCATGAGATTAGGGTTCCGTCCTACTTCAATGAAGTGCAAAACAAATTAGGGTTTCGTTCTTCTTTAATTCTTGAGCAAAAATGAAAGAGAGGGCTAAGTAAGTACAGCGACAATGGAGGCGAGGGCTAATTGAAGTTCAGCAACCGTCGAGGACGGCTGAGTAAAGTTCAGCGACCATGGAGAGCTTAGTGAAGTTTAGCGGGATATTTGAGGGTTGTGATGAGAGAGAATGAGGGTTATAATGAGGGAGAAGGTGGGTGGGTCAAAATTATAACTTTATTCTATTGTTTTAGCAGCTGGCCTTTCAAGGTCAGTTACATATAATGTGGACAAATTTTAGTTGATTATAGTATTTGTAGCGGACTTATAAAAGGCCAGTTGCGAATAAATAACTAATATTAGCAGCGGGCAACGTTACGCCAGTTATAAATTTGTAATTGGCATCTAACAGGTCAGTTGCTAATATAAATTTTAACTTTTACATACCAATTATTAGCAACGTTTATATCTATGCCAGTTGCTAATGACATAGTATTTGTAACTGACATTATTTTAGCCAGTTGCAATTAGTGTTTTAATAACTAACGTATTTAACGTCAGTTGCTAATAGGGTGTTGCTAGTAGCAATTTTTCTACTAGTGAGGTATAAGGGCCACACGTCCTATTCTCTCTCCTTACTTCGATTTTTGCTAATCATTTCTTCCTTTTCGCTAATCACCACAGCTAAACTGTTTCCCCTTTTCACTCGTATTCAGCTATTCGAGACCAAGAACTGAAAGTCGTTGCTCCGAACTCATAGATCAGGTCGGCAAATTTCGCATCTAAACAAGATGATTTTCGTCGAAATCCCTTCGTTTTTTCTTGCTTTTTCAAGAATTTCTCTTTTTTGCTCCGTCGCACAACCACCCTTGATAATGGGCGGTGGTCATGGAAAGAGAAAGGTTGAGGCTGAGCCGAGTGTAGAGGAAAAGGAGGAGGCTCCGCAGTTGATTCTACGACGGAACCGTCCTTTGGCGATGATGCCAACTCTCAGCGGCCAGAATCCTAGGGTTAGGAATGGATCTACTGCCGCTTCTGGCGACTCTGCCATCAGTGTCATCCCAATTAGTGTTCTCCCTCCCAGGGCCTCGGGCTCGGTTAGCACTTCTGGCCGAAGCGAAACTTCGGCGTCTAGGCCGCTGCCCCTTGAGGAAAGGTAGTGGCTGGACGATGCTGCGAATTCGGGCATTATGAGTTTCGTCCTGTATGATTGGTGGGTTAGAAATGATGTCGAATACAGATTTGCTGGGCAAATTGAAATTTGCTATGGGGTTATGGAGGAGGATGGGTATTGCTGCCGAATGCCCACTTTGGAAGATCGGATTCATCGTCCTCCGCTGGGTTATATCGGCGTTTATGTCCATTAGCTGCCGTACGGACTTCGGCTTTTATACATTACTCAAATAACTTTAATGGGCCTCTGAGCCAAGTGGACTTGCCACGTTAACTGGGCCTTGGTTGACTAACTTGGCATGCTTGTAGAGGGTTGAACCTTCTTTGGGCTTTAATGTAGTTATTTGGTGACTGACCCAATTGGAATAAATTGGACCCAAACTTGTATAATTTTAGTACGGAAAACATCTAAATAAGGATATTTAATCCAAGAAACAAATATCCAATTCATTTCTATTACATCTAGATATTTCAGATTAGATATTCACATTTTCAAGATCGAACTTTACTCTCAATATAAAGTTGTTTAGTTATCCAATAGTCAGAATCGAATCAGATCAGATATCCAATGTGCTAGGCCATCATGCATGGCTAGCTATAATTGTTAGGCAAAAACTGAACACTGGCCTTAAGGTACACAACTTAATTGAGGACCTTAGAAATAAGTTCAGATGTAATTAATTATTAGGGACTCAGGCCTCAAATACTATACCCGGCTACTGGGAGCCAATGGACCCTTGGATCGGACCCCATACAAATTAAATTAGAGGTCCACAGAGCACTATTAATAGTCTGCTACTATACCTATACCATATTTTCTTGTACAAATAATACTACCTCTATTTTTCTAGTTGATACTTTTCTTTTAATATATGCATCACACTTCTTGCTAATGCATAATTTTAATGATTAATATTTCTTCAACATTATAAATTTATAAAAAGTCGTATGACTATGTTTTCTTGTAGCTATAACTCATAACATCTAGTCAAATTGTAGTTCGTGAATGATGCAAAATTTAAATTATTGTCACTTGAATAAAAAGGAGGAATTATACAATGAGGTCGAAAAGTTAATAATGCGGAATAGAATAGCAGCCCCAACAGACCAGGCCACCAATTAATTAATAAGGCAATAATTTATATCAAATGATGCTAAAGAATGTAATTAATAATTAAATAATCATATAATAAAAATAAATTACAACACATAATCAATCAAATAAAATTATGATATAAATTATACAATAAAATAATAGATATATATACTATATGTGTGATCATAAGCCAGGGCATTTAATTTGATATAATACTAGTGTTTAAGCTGATGGTGCTTGTGTTTCTTAAGTTCTTCCTTGGCTTCCTTTTTCTTGTGATGTTCATGGAATGAAAATCCAGCAGCCCCAACTGCAACCGCGGCGGCAACCCCTTCTTTCACCTTGTGCTTGTGGGCATGCTCCATATCTTTTTTGGCTTGATGCTTCTCGTGCTACATATATTCAAAGGGGAAACACAGTACATTAATTTCTGTGAATTAATAATATTTCATTCATCCAATATACTTCGTAGGTAAAATGAGTTGGAATGAAAACATTTTTTTTATAACAAAAAAAAAAAAAAAAAAAACCAAATTAATCTAATACAGTTTGAGAGAGTTGATAAAAATTTGGAAAATTAAGAGCATTTTAATGTCTTACAAAAAATCAAATATTCCAGATGATAAAAGGGGTTACAACTTACAAGGCCTTAACTGATTGTATAATTTTATAAAATAACTAAGCTAACTCCAATAAATTAAAGTAAATACGACTATACGAGTATAATTTACATTTATAAATGAAACGAATATCATTACAATAAATTATAAAATGTACTCTGTAGGTATATTGTATATAAATGAGCAAGCCTAACTACAAAAACCAGATTATTGATCAAGAAATTGAATTTAACTTAATGCAACTACTTAGCTAATAAATACGGGCATTATTGCTCATTGGCAAATAGATAGCGACACTTACTAGGGCATAAGCACCGACGGCAATGGTAGTAGCTTGGCCGAGATGTTCAAGGTGTTTGTGGTGCTTCATTTCCTTCTTCGGGTCTTTAGGTGCCTCATCCTTGTGATGGTTGTGACGGTGGAGACCAGTCATGTTGCTAATAACAAGTGTTTGCAGCGTAAAGATAGATAGAGAAGTTGAATGAAAGATATTAAGATTGAGTTTGTTATAAATGAGAAACAATTATATCTATGTGCTATTTTGAGGATCTATATATAAGAAATTGGTATTCATTTTCTTCTTAGCTAAGCATATATTTACGTGTGAATGTGTGATGAGATATAAAGATGTAAATTCAACAAATTAAATTTGGAGGCTAATACTTGACGCGTTAAAAATTACGTACGTAAATGTTCATGTTTAAGAAACTGCCCTGCACCTTCTTAGCATGCATAGACGACATCCTTAAGTTTTTGTAGGATAATTAAACGACGTAATTGGTCATCAAATTGTACTCAGATCATCCAGATTAAATGTAAATTATCCGCGTAAAGTAGTTAGAGTTTTTTGGACTTTTTTTAATATATATTTCACCTAACATTTATATCATTGAATGATAATTCAATCAAAATTCAAAACCAAGCCTAATAATATAAGCTATTCCTATTAGTGTGCATACAGGTATTGTGGATAATCAATTACCTTCATTAGTTGCTTAAAGTATTGTGGGTGGTATTCAAGGCTTGGGATCAAATCATGACTAAGCTACATCATTTGCCCTTATGGCTTTGTTTACACCATAAAAAAAAAAATTAATAATAAATAAATAAATATTCATCTTACCATTTGAACTTAATTGATGTGTGTATTTTATTTACCTGATTTTCACCTATCTGAACTAACTGAACTTATGACCTTATTAAACTTATTTTGGTTGTAATTTATTTTGGGATAACTAACATTCGTAAGAACTTATTTTTCCTTAATTAATTCTATATGAACTTAACTGAATTTCAACTTAATAGACTTGAAATAAAAGAAAATTAGGTGAACATAACAGACTCTAAGGCCTTATTATATGCTCACCTTATTTTCACTTATATTAGGATTAATAAGTTAATAAACAAGCTCTAGATAAGATGAAATCTAGAAAAAATAAGCACGGACTGTTTATGATAAATGTACGTTAATAGGTATTACCCAAATATAATTTACCGCCAAAATAAATTAGAGTTAATAAGCTCTAATAAATTCAGGTATGTTAAGATAAGTTCCAATAAGTTAAGTAATTACATTTAATTGATTATATATATTTAGAAAAGATAAGACAAGTTCTGATAAGTAAAAATCAAGTAATAAATAGAATGCACCCTAATGCATGTGTAGCATATATATGATGTATTCCATTTCCTTTTTTTTTTCTTTTTTTTTTTTTTATTTGGTGTTTCACCTGGTTGACTCTTTGGGCTAATTCGTGTATTCCATTTCCTATTAAATTCACTGTTTTTCAATCTTGATAAAGAGTAGTTTGTTCTATTCAACTTACTTCAAAAAGATAAAAGATTGGCATTACGTACTACTCACTTTATCCCTTTTGGTTGACGCTTCCCCAAACCACAGTTAGCCAACAAACAATCCATAGCCTGGTTACTAGTCGAAAGAATTGAGCTCACCATCTACTATCCTTCTTGGTTGACGCTTCCCCAAGCCGCAGTTAGCCAACAAACAATCTAAAGCCTGGTTATTAGTCGAAAGAATTGAGCTCACCATCTACAATGGATTTGGATCCTAGCATAGAGATCAGAGCTAGGATAGAGAACTGAACTTTGATCTTACTAGTGATTGGTAATGGTCATTAAAGGGAACATATGTGTAGTTCTATTTTGATTCTCAATTCTAGGGCTTATAGATCGATAAATTAACTTATTACATAGCTTATTGACAAACCATGCATGTGAGATTTTGAGAATTATGAGCAAATAATTAATTACTACTTGTATATAATTAACTTATGTGTTGAGATGTGCATGACGTAGAACAACTCACTTAATAAATAAACTTATTTTCAAGTTTTATGCAAATTAATAACGGTTCTTTTGTCATAAGTTAGATTCTTAAGGCCAAGTAAACAAAAGGCACGCTAAATACCTAGCAATTAGCTAATATTGGTAAGTCTAAGAACACAAGAATGAATCATTTATATAGAAACAAAACTTTTACACAATATATATGTTCTGATATATTGATCAATATACTAACACACAATCAAGTTTGTTCAATTCCAATTAATTATGGCTGATATTAGTTCCCAAGAGCAAAGCATATACGATCATATAAATCCTTTTGTCGTATTTTCTTATAAAGACTTATAGTTACGTTATATGATGATCTCTAATCGAAGTATTGGAGGTGCAAAATTAAAGTCATCAATAACTTAATGGAGTTAACAAATTAAAGACGAAATAAAATTCAAAAGGGAGAATATATGCTTTATGCTTTATTAGTTAGTTTTTAGTTGTATCTCCTTCAACTAATCTCGTAATCACAATTCATATACTTAAAACTTATAGAATTTCATATTCTTATTAGATCATACCCTTAAAACTTATACGCGGGTTAAGAATCTTAAATTAAACAAATTCAACACAGACTCAAGTAACACCATTAGCTTGCGAGCCTATTAAGGTATCCCTTGGACTCTTACAAATCAATGGAGCACAAATACTTTATTACCATTATACAACTTTATTTCTAGCTATTATATGACATATGTTGTTGCGCTGACACTAGTCATGATTTGATAGATAATATATTGAGAAAAGTTGATGATATAAATAGAGAATACTCCGTAATAGTCACAAAAATAAGACAATAATTGATCACATGGTACAAAAAGAATTTAAATAAATCATCATATAAAAAATAAAAAAAAAATAAATAAAATTACAAAGATAACAATGGTTCATACAATCAATCACAAAAAACAATATATGATAAAAATTATACACCTAATCGTATAATAGACAAAAATAAAATAATGGAGGCTCATCATCTACTATGTAGATCGAGTTATTATAAGCTAGGGCATTTGATACACTAGTGTTTGTGCTGATTGTGCTTATTTTTCTTAAGTTCTTTTTTGGCTTCCTTCTTCTTGTGATGTTCATGGAATGAAAATCCAGCAGCCCCAACTGCAACCGCGGCGGCAACCCCTTCTTTTACCTTGTGTTTGTGGGCGTGCTCCGGATCTTTTTTGATCTGATGTTTCTCATGCTGCAAATATTCATGGGTAAAAGAGATTATTAATATTTTAAAATAATAAAATGTTCAATGTAGGTAGAAATAATACTAAAAAGACTTATAACTCACTAATGCAAAAGAATAATTTTTAAGAGTTTGGATATAACATTATTTTATATAATTCTTTGTTATATCTTAACCATGCACGTACGTTATTCAAAAAATTATAACAAGCTTATTGAATTTTTTTTTTTTATTTAGGTATATATTGTACAATTAAATAAAATGTTTGTATCTAATTATAAAATCCAAATTACTGGTCACAAAATTTATATGTAATTTAGTATTGCTTAGCTAAAAGATACGGAAACTTACTAGGGCATAAGCACCGGCAGCAATGGTAGTAGCTTGGCCAAGATGCTCAAGGTGTTTATGGTGCTTCATTGCCTTCTTCGGGTCTTTAGGTGCAGCATCCTCCTTGTGATGGCGGTTGTGAAGGTGGAGACCAGTCATGATGCTAATAAAAACTTGTTTGTAGTGTTAATAAGAAGTTGAAAGATATCAAGAATTTGCTCGAGTTTGGTTATGATTAATATAAATGGAAAATACTTATATCTATAAGCTTGTTTAATAATCTATATATAGCCAAGTGATATTAAGTTACTTCTTAGTTAAGTTTATAATTACGTGTGACAAAGATGAAAATTCAACAATTTCGCAAGCTTAATTACACTTAACGCGTTGAATTTATACGACGTACGTATATGATCATTTTGGAGAAGGTGCCATGCAACTTCGCATGCATAGACGACGTTCTCAAGTTTTTGTTGGGCAATAAAAAATTCTATTTGGTCATCAAATTGTAATTATCCTTCTAATTTAATTTGGATTAGATGTTCTATACTAAGTAAACCTTTTGTATTATTATATACTACCTCTCTATTTTTTTTTAAATTACAACAATGTAACATTTACACTATTTATATAATTTACTTTGACTAGTTTAGATGATTTATACCTAAGAAAAATAAAGTCAGCTTGATGAATTCGTTAGGATTTATACTTTCATACTACCAAATGTTAATAATTTTCACACATTGATAGTAAAAGATATTACTGATAAACTGATGAAATAACGAATTGACAAGCGTAAATTAAGCAAATTGCTGAAGAAGTATTTTTATGGAACACTCTTGCGTAAATAGTTGGAGTTCTTTGGACTTAATTATTATTAGTTTGTCTAGTCAAGTAGCCATATAAATCACCTAATTTTTAATTTCATTAAATTAAAAATTCACAACCAAGCCTAAGAAAGGCCTTCACATGAAATCTAATCACAAAAATCATTTCTCATATTAAATAAATGTTCTTCCTCATTCTTTTTGTTGCTATGCTTTAACTTATGACGATGCATTATTCATTACAAGTATTAGCTTTCCCTATACTAGACTATTTTTTATATGTTAAGAGTTTATTCATGAACTCTTACCTGAACAATTGATTAATTTTTCAAGTGAAAAATAAGAAATTATTGTACTTTTACTTCTTAGAAGGACTCATCACTAATTTCTCTGACAGTGTGTAGTAAATAATTGTTTAATTATGGCATTAATTGTTTTAATAAAAATCTTGTAATTATTGCAGATGAGCTAACTATTCTATAAATATGCAATAATTTAAGGGCTAATCAAGCATTCAAAACAATTCTAAAGCATAGTACATGTGATTAATAAAACAAGTAAGATGATATTTTAAAGTGATAGATACAAGTACCAAAATTCTCTCAACTAACAAAAAATCACAAACAAATGGTTTCAAACAAAAGGTGCCAATTAAACCGACCAAAATTATAACAAGTATTGAATGATATCCTTTATTGATAGCAACTTAATTAGTGATGTTGATGACTTTCATTAGTTGGGCCAAGTGTCCAAGAAATATTATTGCATTTCAACAGCAAATTAGAAAAAGATAACCACTCCACGATTATATCATCTCATCGGCCCCTTGTACATCCTACGAAACCATACACTACTGCCCCCTCAATGTCCACATTTTTATCTTATTTGCCCTCATTTTCGTCGGTGGATCATGATAGGTGGATGTTTTGTCCGGCGTGAAACTGATTTTTTTATGGGTTTTATCTGATTTGATATTAAACTTATTTGGAATAGAATTTTTGTGAAAAACTACCTAATAAAAACGAAATTTTGTAATAAACTATCGAATAAAGAAAATGTTGTAAGAAACTACCTAATAAAAAGTAAAATATTGTAAAATACTATCTTTGACCGAATTTCCACCGTTGACTTAATTTTACGACGTTAATCCACCTTAAAACACCGTACCCCCGAAATCACCGTGAGGGTTGGTTTTCAAGGTGGTAATAAGGTTATTTTCGGGGTGGTTGGAAGATATTCCGAGTTGGTGATGAGGGTAGATTAGTGCTTCGGGATGGTGAATTTTGGGGTTAAAGGTGGTGGTTTTGGGGTTGAAAGGTGGTTTAGGTGTGGTGGAGGTGATTTCAAGCTAGTTGTGTTAGTTTTGGGAATGAAAGCGGTGGTTTCGAGAGTGTTTTGAGGTCGGTCAATGGTGGAAATCCGGTATAGGTAGTATTTTACAACATTTTACCTTTTCTAAGGTAGTTTTTACAACATTTTACCTTTTCTAAGGTAGTTTTTACAACATTTTACCTTTATTAGGTAATTTATTACAATATTTTTTTTAATAGGTAATTTCTCACAAAATCTGGGTTTTATTAGATAACTTTTGACAAAAAAAATCTTTTGAAATATTATGTTATGAGATTTTGAATTAAAGTGAACGAAAGTGAACTGTTGCCTTAAGACGGGTTGATCATAGTTGCTTTTAATTTGAATAACTGTGACAAGTGTATACTAAAAAGATATGGACACGTGTTGATGTAAGGTTTTCATCTCATGTGTGAACTTGTTCAAATTGGAGAAAATTGGTGCACTTGAGCAATAATAACTTATTCATCAAAGCTTTAGGGTAAGTTTATTGGGGGGTTGGAGTAGAGTCTGGAGATAGTCTCACTCCAAACTCATGCGTTAATATAATAAAAGACTTATGTTAGTCTTGGTCTGGAGTGAGTTTGGAATATCAAAACTCATCTTTAGACTTTGTATGGGATATAAATGCTGCAACATTTGGTCATGAGCCAATGAACACTTGCCACCTCACCTAACAAAGTTAATGGCAATTCAATCCAAAGATTCCCAACGGCTACTTGCATGTTATTTGAATGTGCTCCAATTGCTATATTGCAACGGCTAAAAATTAACGGCTAAATCCTGATCAATTTGTATATATACATATGATATATGTATATATTTAGTGCCAAAAAAAATAACCTCTATCAAAATATATAAACAAAAAATTTCCTCCAAAAAAAAGAAAAAAAAAAATCATGGATCCAAATCAATATTTCGACTTGAATATATTTTTTGAGATGATAAATTAGTCTAGAGTAAGTCTTGGAATAATGTGTGAATTTAGAAAAACTCTTGTATGAATCTGAATAATAAAAAAAAACATTTAAAAGTTAGTGAAAAACTGATGTGACAGAGTTTGGAGTCTAGGTCTGAGTCTAGGGATAAATTAAACTCACCCTTAGGCTCCAATACCTTGTTGAATTTGAGAAAACTTAAGATTGGGAGTTTATTTAGTTGCCATGTTTATTATTTTAGGATGCATTTATTTCGCCTAATATAACCTGAACTTTTATTACGGTGCCACGTGGCACTCTTCAAAGTATATACCACGTGGCACTCTTCATTTAACAAAGTATTCTTCAAAGTATATACCACGTGGCACTCTTCATTTAACAAAGTATATGATTTAGATTCAAATCCGTAACCTCCAGTACATAAAGGTCATACATTTACCATCTCAACCAACTTTGACTAATGTTTTAAATTTCACATAATTAACATTATATATTTCTTTCATTTATGAAGTAAATTAGAGGTTATATACTTATATAATTTATTTTTTTCACAAGATTAGAAAATAAATACATATGAGGTAAAAAAACAGTAATACTCGAGACAATGCCCGAACCACACACTAACTATACAAACAGTCGAACATAATTATCAAATAAAAGAAGTACAAACTTGCAACTTGGGACATCGCCCGTGCCTCACACTAGTTGTTTGATTAAAATATGTATGATTGTTAATCTGTATATATCCTAATCCAATATATTGTCAAGTCTTAATTTTTTTTTCCTTCGATTAAATATAGTTTTAATTATAGGCACACATACTCCAACTATTGTTTAAAAATTTTTGATTCTTATCATATGATATGTTGTATAATTAGTCATTATGTATTGTTAATTTTTATCAGAATCAAATTGGGCGTGCTTCTAGTTACACATTTTTATTAGTTATTACTCCGTACTACTACGTATAACACCACTAATCTCCTCCCTGGCCTTCCTAGAACTCTCCTTGAAACAAACCCAATTTCATACTAGAATTGTCTAGAATTAAATCACAGAAAACATAAACTACTTATCTATATTACTTCTTCTGTTTTTATTTACATGCTACACAGCCTTGTGACATGCACTTTGAGATCATGATTATACAATGAAAACGGAAAAATCAATTAATCTAGTTTTTACACATGGTACCTAGCTCTTCTCTATTTTCGGTGTTAAAATTATTTTGTCAAAATCATTCATTTACCTTCACTAGCTAATCACCTACTAATATTGTGTGTCTAAAAGTTATGTTGCAAGTAAATAAATATGGAGGAAGTATTATTTACTGACTAAGAGTTTCAACAAGTGAAATTTCCTTTATTAACTTTACTAGATTCACCTAAACTTTTTCATTTTTACCCTTGCTTTCATCAACTTCATTCAACAACAAAATGAATAGGGTTAACTATTTTTTATGTGAAATGTGCACCCAAATCACATGAAAATTTCTTGTAGATCCATTCTTACAAAAATCTAAAATAATGTAACTATTAAATTATATACTTCGTATATATATCATGACCCACCATTCTAAAAAGGATAACAAAAATTTGAATTTTATGTCGAATACGGAACCATCATAGAAAACATTTCATTATATATAGAGGTATTAACATAATCTCATAACAAAACATAAAGTGTTAGTGTTACATAGAATTAGAAAAACAAAAAACTTGTAGTTTTTCACAATATACCAAATTAAAAAATATAATCATGTCGGAGGAGAAACACCACCACAGCCTCTTTAACCACCACAAGGATGGTGATGAAAACAAGCCCGTAGACTATGAGAAAGAAGAAAAGTCGCACAAGCACAAAGAACACTTGGGTGAGCTTGGTACGGTCGCGGCTGGTGCTTTTGCTCTTGTAAGCCACCTTACTTTGATTACCTATGTATCAATGTCTAGCTATTATATTTCTAAGTGTAGTCTTAATTTACTAGTTGCGGTGTCATAGTCATATAGGAGGGTCTAGGTTAAATATCGCGATTTGGAGTTTTATCAATCTCACACACAACAAGGTTATTAATTAGCCTTCTTGTGTGTGAGATTAATTATTGGTTATTAAGGCGATTTCTTTTACTCTATTTTTACTTGTTTTGGAATATATATATAGATAAAATCTGATAAAATTTGAGTTTAAGAGAAGTAAGAGCTACTCAACTTTAATTTACAATCAAAATAAGATTAAGTTAAAAACAGCTGATAAGTGAAAATCATGTAAATAAATTAATGCTCTGTTATGATTTAATTTCTTCACTCATCAATACTAGCATAATTTTTTTGATTTATAGTGTCATAATATAATACTTAAACACTTTTTCTGTACTATATAACCTAGATTATTAGTCAACTAATTAATTCTTGTGGAATCGTAATGTTGTATATAGCATGAGAAGCACAAGGCAAAGAAAGATCCAGAGCATGCACACAAGCACAAACTAGAGGAAGAAATCGCTGCTGCCGCGGCTGTAGGGACCGGTGGCTATGCCTTCCATGAGCATCATGAGAAGAAGGAAGCCAAGGAAGAGAGGAAAGAACATGATGGAAAGCACCACCTCTTCTAAGGCCGTTACTATACCGTATTTTTCTATACGATGCTCTACTTGCTTTTCCTACGTTACGGCTTGAGAGTTCATGTGTACGTACTTGATTGTGTAATTAATATGTATGGAAAATAAGTGATCATCTCCTCAGTGTGTGCTGTTTGTGTACATATATGTAATTAGTTTTATTTGGGATTGCATCATATTGTTACTACTTTTATCAAAAAAGAAAATATGGTGTTGTTTGCTTAAGGATTGATGTTTTTTTTAATACAAAATACACTATATGGATTGGTTATTATTAGAGTGTTAACTGATAAGGTCTCAATGTTTCTTTTCTTATGTGATAAAATAATTATTCAGCTTATACATATATATATATAGACATATATATATAATATTTTATTTTTTTACCTTATTTAACTTTTCACGCACGGTTTTTGAGACGCATTTTTAAACGTATATAACTTTATGTTTATATGCGTAAATATTATAACCAGGTACAAACCCTTCATAACCTGGTAAAAATTATTAGTTTAAGCAATTGAGGTTTGTCAAACCCTTCATAACTAGGTACACCAATAACTAATTGTATCCATAATACTCTGAAATAAACCTAAATCTAAATAAAATTTGTAGATTTTTGAATTTTATATTGATATACTGCCTTCGTTTCACATTATGTGTAACAATTGGGTAATTTTTGTGAGATATAAATTTTTTAATTATTGCGCATAATGCGGAGGTAGTAGCTATTCTTTTTTATTATAAAAACAACAAAACGATAAAAAGGGAAAAAGAAAAAACATGCAAGAGGGAATTCTATTAGAAAGAATTGCTAGGATTAGAAGAAAGTTAGACTCAAATTTTACACAAATTGTAATGTGAAACTCAAGTTTATGCTACGTATAGTAATCATGTTAAACTACTACACCATAGGGCCACTCTTTGAATATTTGTCCAATCTTAATATGCAAATTACTTGGGCCATCCATTCAATTTAATCTTTTGATTTTTTGCATAGCATAAAAAATCTTAGATATTTTGCAGCAATTTATAAAGTCGGAAGATTCATTGAACCTAGACATTTTTATAAAATTCACAACCCTCAACTCCACAAGTTCAGTTAAATAATTTTAATTTAGTAAAATAAATTAAGTTCACCTTTAAAAAATCATATTCAGTAAAAATAAGTTCAATTCAATTAAAATCAATAACTTTAAAGAAGAAATATGATAGAGAATCAGAAAAAATTATTTTAGTTCAGTAAAATAAATTTCAGTTCAGCAAAAACAGTTTCAATTCAGTAAAAAATTATTTCAGTTTGGCAAAAATAAAGTGAAGTGAACAAGGTTGCAATCTTAATATCCTAGAGTGGCATTGGACCAAGCCGACCCTAAAAAAGGACAACACAACATAGTCATGATATAGGTACGACACGTTACCGTAGGTCAAGCCTGGGCCATCTTTATTTGGGAGAAGTACGACAAGGCATGGTACAACTTGACTTGACATAACACGACGAATTGTAACACCCTTAAATCTTTAAATAGTTTAGGCACAAAAGCCTGATACCATGGCATATGGAATAGGCCAATACAAGATTTGAAAATTTTGGCATGGTACGACACGCAGCTTGTATGTTGGGCCGTGAATCGGACCTAGCTAACCCCAAAGCACATGGACTGGTTACGAGGCACGGCTTAGCATGGCCCATATCTACCTATAAATATGGAGCTGAAAATCCTGATATATGGAAAGTAACAAGCACGGAGTATGTTGTGTGAAGTCCCAAAATTCAAGCAATTTAATGAGGAACAAAATATTGTATGCATCCTTACATTGTTCAAAAGAATCATAAATGATGTGTTGCTACTAAAATTATATGTTATGGAAAATATTTTAGTGTAAAGAGAGTTTTATCCTGTCAAAAAAAAAAAAAAAAAAAAGGGAGTTTTAAGGAGTAAATGGTGTACACAGTACACACAATTTGATCAAAGCTATTAATGTAGAATTTGCAGATCACAAGATCTTCTAGAACTTTCATTGTTAAAGTATTCAATTCCATGCAAAAGCTTGTTATATAAATTTCTTGGTCAGATGCTTCAAAAAAAAATTATAATATATAAATTTCTTGGTCAGATTTATGTTGGAATTTTTTTTTTTTTTTTTGACAATAGCAAATTAACAAGAAAAACAACTAAAGCTCTAAATTAGAGAGAGTACAACGGCACTTTTTGGCAATATTATTGGCCCGTTGCACCTTAGCTATAATTAACTATCTCCCACGGTAAAGCGCTAAATTTAAATATATTTGCTTATCTCTAATGGTTAAAGTCCAAGCCTAAATACATTTAATTTGTTTCAAAAGTTCAAAAAAAAGCATTGATGATTAATATCAATTAGTTGACTTTGGTCACCATAAAATCTTCTCATTTACCTTAACCGGGCATATAGTAATATAGTACCATAGTTTTTATGCATGCAGTTTAGTTAAAAAGCTTAACTACATTAAGATCCCAATAGTTAGCGCACTCAATTTTAGTGTTTGGTGTTTTGTGAACCGGTCACAGACAAGCTCAGTCAAAACATGTATGTGTACAATTAAAATAACAAGCTTATACGGAAAACCCAAAAAGCGCGAGTGACAAACACCATTCTGCTGAAGAAACAGATCAAATGATCCGTTCTAATAAAAAACCTAAGAGGAAAATCACACATTTATTCTTCAATAACAACCATGGGGATGAAGAAATGACGGAGATTGATGGTGAGAACATCACCAAAGCTAATCAGTCCCAAGGGGCGCTTCAGCCACCACATAATCCGCAAGGTGGTCCATCATTCAAAGATAAGGTGCAAGGTGGACAAGGTCTGCAACCTCAAAACCATCTAATTGTCAATCTGGAAGATGAAGAGGAAGAAAACATTTCAGATGATGAGAAGAAATACTAAATGATGAACGATGTCATATCATTAAGATAAGAGCTTGTGCATGGGTCAAATTCTGGACCAAATCTACCTTATGACCATGACTCCCCTGATACATGCAACTAGACTCTATGCTACCACCAATCTCGAATCCTCCTGAATTGGTGGCTACATTGAAGATTCCCAATCAATTTCAACGTTTGTTGCAATTCATTAGTCAAGCTTATATGTCCTCTTTAACTTCTATACCTGTTTCTATGGAAGAGAGTATTCCTAATTTGGCTCCAGGTTCACTACCTATCACATGTATGGTGTTGATTGTGCAAGGCGCGGGGAGTAGAAATTAACCTTACGTTCTAGCTCTAGTTGAAACTCATGTGGGAGGTGAACAAGCAACAAAAATAGCCTCGATGTTGGGGTATTCGGGTCATACGAGAGTCGATGCTGTTGGATTTAGTGGTGGCATTTGGGTGTACTGGAAACCCGAACTTATTACTGTTAATCCAATTCTTCACCATAAACAACACATTACGATGGAAATTTCGAGAGTAGGGGCAATGCCACGGTATTTTTCTACTGTATATGCTAGCCCTAACCCCTCACAAAGAAAAGATTTATGGGAAGAACTCCACAAATTTGCGGTGACTCACAATAAGCCATGGCTCATGGCAGGGAACTTCAAAGACACTCGCTTTCCATCTGAAAGAAGCAGCTCGTGCTATGAAACAACTAGGAGGTCAGCCCTTTTCAATTCATGGATCGAAGATATGGACCTCCTAGAGGTGGAATTCGGGTGCAGCTCACACTTGGGCAAGAGGGCTAACTCCCGAGACTCGCCAAAGTGGAAGGTTGGACAGGGCACTATGCAATGAGAACTAGGCAATGCGTTTTGACAGGGCTGCTATGAAGCATCTCACGGCTTTTCACTCTGATCATTGCCCTTTGTTTATTTCCCCAAATGGTTTTTCTCCTTTACAAGCTCTCCACCGTCTTTTCAAGTTCCAAGCCACTTGGTTGTCACATGAAAAATTTCTTGATTTTATGACTGAAAAATGGGAAACTAACACACCCTTAATGCAAGCCTTGAATAAGCTTTCTAATGAGCATTTTTGGAACCGAGACTGTTATTTTAGATGAACTACTACAAGAGGGGGGGTGAATGGTAGTAGGTTCCAATCGCGAAACTTATGCGGAAATTAAAAACAAAACGTAAAGGAACTTAAAGCACAAAGCAAGTTTTACGAGGAAACCATCCAGTGCCTAACTGGAAGTAAAACCTCGGCCCTATTGGGACTTATAAACAAATTCCACTATAATAGGCAACTCTCCTAGTACAACCTATTACACAGACCTTTGCTTTGCAAGTTCCGCCACGGACACTTGACTCTATGATAGGACACTTCCTACCAGACCTAAGACACTTCTCAGGACCCTTTTTCTCCCTTTACCCAGGAAACTTCCTAGGTGACCCAAGACACTTCTCAGGTTCCTTTCACTCACTGTGCACTCACAGCTACCACTCGAATTTTACCAGATTTCAAACTCATACACAAGCGTGAATTTAAGAGAATTCACAATCTCACCCCAAAATACAAAACACTCAAAACCCTTTTTCCCATTACAAGATCTCATCGAATATCCCTAAATACATATCTATGAATAAAGAGATAAAACTAATATGTTGAACACTCAAGATCTGTCTGGAACTCACTAGACGTATTGTAACCAAAAACCTGATAGGAACTTTGACCAGGAGGACTGACTTAGCTTCGTGGTGAAGGATAAAACCATTAAGAACGACCACTACACTTCGTCAGCCTCCTCTTTGAATGAATGCATATGAGCATATTTATAGTACACTCAAATTATTCATTTCATCTTGAAAAAGATAGATTTTCTGAAAAGATAAGTTTAAAAGATATTTTCTAAAAATCAGTTTTCTGAAAATATATCTTTTTGTTAAGAATAAAAACTGTCAATAATAATAAGATAAACTTAGCATAAAATCAGATTTTATTCAAAACTTATCTTTTTGTTTAAAATACTTTTTAAACAATCTTATCTTTTTCCAAAAGGGATTTATTAGAAGATAAATATCTTTATTCAGTAAAACCAAATCCCTAAAAGATATGCACGTATAAGGTAAATATATATATCATTAAAACCGACTTTTAACGACGTGCATACTTAAGTTCCTATTAGGTTCCTGAACTCTGTCAGTCTCCGAGTTCCTGACAAGTCAGTTACTCTAATTTCATTGATTGTTTGGAGTTCACCTTGGTTCTATATAGACTTATTCCAGACCGAATTTTATGTCCAACATACTTACATGAATCCTAGAGCAATATACTTCTATTTCTCTGTCTTCATGTTGCTTCTCTGAAACTCT